TAGCTGTGACTTTGCCACTAAGGGCAGAATAAGATTCACAGATGGATATACTGGTCTTTGAGACATCACAAATCCTCTCAGCTCATCAGTACGGCATTAATATTTGTCGAGTACAGAAGGAAATATGGCTGTGAGTAATGTTACATTGTCTCATTCTGTGTCATCATGCACTGTTTGTGTTCAAACATCCTAAAGGGTTATAATACCACAAACTATCAATGCCAATTGCTTGCCTGTCTATGGCATTTTGCATTGTGTGCTAGCATTAAGTTTGCAGAAGGCAAAGTTGTCGGGTTGTTTTAAAAACACAACACAATAATTGTATTTATTTCATGTTTAGTTTGACAGTAAACCCCAACTTGGAGTGACTAAGAATATCTTGAAGCCTTTTTTTTCTGCCAAACTCGTGCTTGCTGTAAAATGAGTTGAGTTGTGTTCATTGCTCATACAGTACTCAGATCTCAAACTTTGTTCGCAGGTCAAAGCAAAACAAAAGAAAAATCGTATCTCGAAAAAACTTGAAAATCCGGTCACCTGTAGTGCAAGGCACCACAGTTGAATAAATAATGAATTGTTAATTTGTGTGGTTAAGTCCAATTTGAAGTAAAATCATAGTGACACGAAGTGGTGACGAGTACAATAAAGGACAGGTTCCAAAGTGAACCTTTGTGGTGACGGTACCAAGACAAAAAAACAAAGGGAGCTGAGGCTCAGGTTCATCCTGCAGGTCAATGGAGCCGCAAAAGCAGCAGCCCCACTACTATGACCACACCGTTATTTCGTGTTATGCAACCACATTGAGCAGCTGTGCAGTGTTTGTTTAGTCACTACTGCGACACGAGTGCCACGCTCACCCAATGCATTGAATCTGATGAAGACCAGGATGGACCGGCGAAAAAACTGACACACATCAGCACGGAGAAGCAGACTTCAAAAAACATGCCTAGACTTGTCAGGCGGCCCAATGACGTGCGTCGTATGAGCGAAGAGGCACATGACGTTCTCGGGATGAAGACGGAAGGAACAGCGTGCAATGCACCCACTATCAAAGTTTGCATTTGCAATCTGCTTCGAAGACAGCCGTTACATTTTATTAACATGTAGAAAACCATTCAGCCTTATGAGTAAACAGCTTGCCGTCACTCTACACAGTTCTCCTTCTGTTTGTGGAAGTTTTCCTGTTTTACAGTTTTACAGACAGACAACCAGTAACTAGTCGTAGTGCAAAAAACAGCCAGTAACTAGTTGTAGTGCAAAAAAAGGAAGGCATGCTTAGGCCCAGCCTGCAGCCTCTCCCAGTCGGTTTTACGGTTACATAATCACTTATCAGCGCACACGGCTTGTCCCTGAGGACGCTTGCTGCTTGTTTTGTGCAAAACTGTGAGCGCATGGAAGCTTTGCCCCGGGTAAAAATAAAGAATGTCCCGCGTAGAAATGCATGTGCCAGAAAAACAACAGCCACAAGAAGCCAGGCCATGTAAAACCTAAAACAGAATGCAACCCCATACGACAAGGCTCATTTTCCTGTCTGACAAATGGAGTGAGCATGCGTTGTCAATAGAGAAGGTCAACAGGGAGGCCTGGGCCCCGGGCTCTGAAAAGACTTTTGCGTGGACCACAGAGGTCCAATCCATAAACTTTCCTGAATAGTTCACCAACTTATCCAATGGTTTTCTCAAGCATTGGCTCACACCTTGCCTATTTTAAAGCAATGCCATCTTCAACCGCAAACATGGTCGGTTGACCAGCATGCCCCACCATTCATGGCAAAACCACGTTAATGGTGGCTGTAGCTGGAGGCCAACAGACAGTGGAAGCTCAGGTTACAGACTTCATGATTCGTTCTGTGACCCGGTTTGTAACGAGACATTCATAAACCGAGGTGATGTTTCCCATTCAAATAAATGAACATGAAATTCATTCATTACAACCCTTATACTGAGTTATATTTACCTTTTTCATCAGCCAACGGTTATATGATATGGTATAAGAAATGAAACACAAAAATCACAAAACTACAGTATTTATTGCTAATTGACTTTAACTAAGACATTAGTTAGTCAACTAAATTGACATTTAAGAAGAGGCTACGGTATTGGGAAATGATTGTGGTTTAGTTTTTATTATTATTATGATTTTATTTTTATTATTAATACGGTTTCTTCTCTAATTCATTGGTTGATGGCCAGTAGAAGCACTGCAAAACCTTTCCACTCATCTATGGCAAGCACTTTCTAATGCTCTCCTGAGCAGTTTTCCTTTTCTTTAGATCCATTCTGACGATTTTCTTTAGTGCTTTGTTTACTTGTTCAGCAAAAGTTTAACGTGCCGACATGGGACAAGCTTCCGCATTCATTCGTAACAATGTTGCTGCTTCTCGCATCTGCGATTGGGTGAATGTTTGTAGGTGGAACTTCTACCGCATGACAACATGAGCGGACGGCTATTTTGACGTGATTGCGCTGACATAACCGCTTGCTCTCTTGATAAAAGAGTAAAAATCAATAAATAACATATATACTTTAGTTAGTGGTTTCTGACAAAAATAAAAAGATTTTGGGAGTTTTTCTAGGCTAACACCTCAATCCCTCAGTCACTTCTATTTACATATGCAACTGGCTTTCCGCCTCATGCCGCAAAAGGTTACAACGTTTTTTCAGTTTACAGAAATGCGTTATTCCGGAGAGCCAAGGATGGTTATACAGCACAAGAAGCATAGCATAGATCCACCGGCTCGTCCGTGCCAAGACCGTTTATATACTGAAAAAGTTAGTAAACTGAGGTAATGTTTGTGTGAATATTTTCGGTGTAACCCAAATTGTTCATAAACAGGCCCCCTCATAACCTGATATTGGACTGTATATCAAAACCCTTCAGTTATTGTCAGCTTTGTAACACATCAAGATAAGCAAGTCTAAAGTGTCCTAATCTCACAAATCCATTTTGCATCGTGTCTTATATTATTGTGAACAGGCAAAAAATGAGCAGCTCAGTCGGCATCCTTTGAGGGGTTAGCGGTGGTAAGTGGACTTGTCAAGAAACGGCAGATTTATCAGTAAATGCAATACACTGTATCAGCAGTTTTACCTGAACTGGACAACAGACATTTTCGTTCTTGCCTTCAAATCAAAAAGAAACACTTTTTGTCCAGCGAGCACCGTTGCTCCTTTTCCACTGCACAGTATCGGCTCAGCTCTACTCAACTCAAAACAATAAAATAAGCCCTAAATGCATCAGTTGGAACAACAATGGAAGTGAACAAGGGTCTATGGTTGTTATTTCTCAGCGTGTGGCTGCTGGCCACAGTAAAGGAGCCACAAATGCTCGGCAATATGGCCTAAAATTCCTTTCACTGTATAAAATGAACCACTTCACAGTTATGGTATAACCTACAGGTATATCACAATTGTGGAAGTATTTCTGAATGGGTTTTATGGTCTCCTAGCAAGGGTGAATTGACTGTAAAAATAACAACAAAAAAAAAGCCAAAACCAAGATAGCATGTAATTTTGAGAATATGTTTGAATTTTTATCATCTGTTGCGCAGATCTCAAAACTACAATTAAAGTTTGTGCAAAAATAGTGCAAACATGTACAAATAACATTTGTGATAGCATCGATGTTTAAGATACTAATATACATTTCTAATATACTTTTGACTTCCTCTACCTGGTTGACATATGCAGTAATATAATTCATTTCCAATTTTCAGACTTACTGTGTAACTGTTGTTTTAACTACACTCTAATACTTGTACATTTACAGGCTAATTTTCTGTTCATAGTTGACTACTCTTTGCTGGAGCATGGTTTCAGCCAGACTTCTGTTAGAGGTGTAATGCACCATGTAAGCACTGATTCTGGTGTTTTGGTACTCTATTCTATGATGTCACATTAGCTTAGCAGTTAGCATAGCTTCTCAGTCTTTTCCTGCTCTCTCTGTGTCAGATGGTGAGCTACGCCTTGTCCTCCTTGAGCGATAACGGTACTTCTGTGAAGCGAAGCCTCTTTGCCGCCATGGAGGCAAAACAGCGTTCATACAAGCCAACGCGCCAATCTGCAGCTTGTCATTGGTGCAGTCATGCGGTGCATGTCAATTTAGCGACGCCATAAAAAAAATAAAAAAAAAAAGTGTTTTTAATTTACTCAATATTATTTCAAGTAGGTGTGTAGTCTACTTACAAAATGTATCTGTAACTTCATGATTGTATTTCATGCAACAACATGATGAAATAAAATTGAGTAAATTCAACAAAAACCTTGTTCAGCGTCGTGGTAGTTTTCAAGCAGCCAGTAAAGCAGGGAGGATGAGTGACTTTTTTTTAAACCAAAAACAGTACTGGCAGGTGGCAGCTCTTCCAGATATAATTATGTCATCAACAAACATGATTAAGATTGCTCAGGAGAGTGCAAATTTATCCCATGTGCCACATTTGTACCATCTACCACAGTTAACGTACAAAGCACATACCGTACCTTGCACTTCTAGGCAACGTTTAATTTGAGAGGTGACAGGGACAAATGGAGAATGTGGAGAATCTACTGCAGCATACAAAGCTAAGGTATAACAACACATTGAGCTAATGGCACACAGATTGATTTTCATCATTTCCAGCTGAATGTTCTGAAAAATAAGAACAATGAAGCGCCCTTGTGCTACCTGCTTAGCATAATTGCAATCATGGCAAACCAAGTCCTAGAAATAATACTCCAAAGAAACTGCAACTACCCGCTTTTGTAAGTGGAATGGTGTCAGTTGTGAGTAGTCAAGTTGGAAGCATTCAGTTGTTTATTTTTCTACATGATGATCCAAGATGATGCACACACTGTACATGACAGGCAAAATGTTCTGAGTCTCTTAGTACCAACCACCTCACAATTTTTCCTCAAACTGCTTCTACCAAAGGCGAAGTGGACAATGATCCTGTATGTACCACTTGCATGTGCACTAAATGCCAAACAAAAGCAAGTCAAGGAGGAAGTGTTTTGAAGATGCCATACCTGTTTCTGGGGACAGGGATATGAGAGGAAGGGAGCGGTTGTCGCTCCATCTGTGGTACGTTCTGTCCTGGTGCTGGCCTGAAGCTGACGGCCATCTCCACCTGCCTCTCTTGAGTCCTGATGTCCAAGTGCATAAAGCTGCCTGGCGTTTGCCCATTTGTGCCTGGGCAGTGAGTAGGACTGGACCTCTTCAGGCTTGTAGTGCAACCAGTGTCTCTGTGTTCGCCCAGGCCAGTCTGGAAAATTCGGAGATGTAAATCAGGCTAATGATTGCAGGTACTGTATGAGTGCCAGGAATGTTGTTTTTCAGAAGATAAACTCTCATCTCAATTAGTGAACAAAACATAAAAACAAAGATAACAAAACAGTTATCCTTTCAAACTAAAGTGGTCAAAAGGATAAGGATGGGTCAGAGGTGTCTGTCAAACTAATTTTCTTCTCAGCCCACATCTTGGTTATTATGCTTGTCCACAGAGGGCCTTAATGTCAGAGAAAAATGAACATCAAAAAAATTACATCACCATGACCTTACATAATAATGAGGTAAGCACCGATACCACTTTTTTTTCAGAAGTACTTACAACTGAATACTCACTAATACAAATTACCGATACACAACCATGCCATTCAGTGTAGTTGCAATTGTGATGAAAATGTCTTTTATTTTAACCGAATATTGTTCAATAAACAGAAAACAAACTTCTGGTGAATGTGGCATAAATTACACTCAAGTAAAAAATGTTTGGGCAGCCCGGTGGTCCAGTGGTTAGCGCATTGACCTCACAGTGCAGAGGTCGTGGGTTCGTATCCCGGCTCCGGCCTTCCTGTGTGGAGTTTGCATGTTCTCCCCAGGCCTGCGTGGGTTTTCTCTGGGCACTCCGGTTTCCTCCCACATTCCAAAAACATGCATGGCAGGCTGATTGAACACTCTATAAATTGTCCCAAGGTATGAGTGTGAGTTGTTCGTCTTTGTGTGCCGTGCGATTGGCTGGCAACCGATTCAGGGTGTCCCCTGCCTACTGCCTGAAGACAGCAGCTAGGCTCCAGCACCCCCCGCGACCCTTGTGAGGAGGAGGCGGATCGGAAAATGAATGAATGAATAAACAATTTTTTTAGAGTAACAGATTGTAGTTTCTGATATTTTAACATCGAACTGTATGCCACACGTTTCACTTAAACGTAGCCTGCAACACAAGGCACTTCAGTGATGTAGTTACCCCCCACCAAAAAGGGTACAATAATTAGGCGGAGAAAAAAAAAAGTAGTGTGTTTCCGGTAACCCGACTGACCGAGAATTTCTACGTCAAAAAAAAACTTTACGGTTGGCATTTTTTTCAAACAACCCTCTACATTTTTGTGTAGAGGGTTTACATCGGTGCAAACTGTCGCGATATTCACGTTGAGCGCGTGCGTCGTTTGCCCTGTCGTCTGTCAACAACATTGAATCATGGCGGCGGCCGTGATCTCCGACGACAGTTTAAACCGCATTTTCTGTGTTACAGTCGCATGCTCGCACCGTAATGTTAAGAAAATAGCATCCATTGATGTATCGAAAAAAATTCAGCGAACTATTTGATGAACACCACGGGCCGAGTAAAAACCGAGAGCGGAGGAGGACGGCGGGGAGAAAACTAAATAGGTGGCGGCGGCGCCGGCCGCGGAGCGGCGGGGGAGTCGCGGGCGTC